GTCTTGTTCCTTCTGTGTCTCCTAACAACTCCTTGAGACTCCTCAGACTCTGCCCTTCTTCCCAGCATCCTCCTAGTCTGGATCTCCCACCAAATCTCTTCCTGACCAACTATAGGCCAGTTAGCTGTTATTAAACAATGAGAGCAATACATATTTGCAGGGTACAAAGAATGCTCCACAGCAATATAGAGTTTTTTGATATCTTGACTACTATAAATTGTGCAGGGGTGAAGATAAAGGGGAAGAGATTTCTTTGAGATGTTGATTTTAAAAAGTTATTTGTATATGTGAATATGTGTGTGGTGTTTGCTGGCCAGTGTGCATGGGTGTGCTCACCTATGTGGGAGTGTGACTATGTTGAGATATCTTTCCTTAATCCCTTTCCCACCTTATCTTTTCAGGCAGTGTCTCTCACTGAATCTGAAGCACAGTTTGACTAGCCCATCTGGCCAGGGAGCCCCAAGATCTGCCTATCTCCACCCTCCAGAACTGGAGGGACAGATAGCAGCTGCTGTGCTCAGCTTTTATGCGGGTGCTGGGGACCCAAACTTTAAGCTTTTATGACAGGCACTTTACTTACTGAGCTGTCTCCTCAGTGGAGATACTGATTCTTATTTCTTTCAGATATATTCCTGGAGTAGATTGAGAATCATATAGAATTTCCTTTTTAATTTTTTGAGAAATTTTTATACTGTTTTCCTCAATGACCATACCAATTTACATTTCTGTGCAAGGAGGTTTTTTTTTTCCCTACTCTGACAGATGTTTGTTAATTACTGACTTGATAATAACAGCTATCTTAAAATGAGTGAAGCGTTATCTCCTACAAATTAAGTACACTTCACTGCTAGAGAGTGATGACAGGCCATTTTTTTTTCTTTGTTTTCTTTTTTTTGGTTTTTCAAGATAGGGTTTCTCTGTGTAGTTTTGGTGCCTGTCCTGGATCTCACTCTGTAGACCAGGCTGGCCTTGAATTCACAGAGATCCACCCGGCTCTGCCTCCCGAGTTCTGGGATTAAAGGTGTGCCCCACCACCACCACCCGGCGTAACAGCAGTTGGCCATTTGTACCTCTTCTTTGGAAAGATAACGGTTGAAGTCCTTTCCATATTTTAAAAATCAGATTATGTATATTTTTAAATGTACCTAATCTTTCAAACAATCACTCTCCTAGATTTCTACAGTGAAGTTACTGTTTATGCATTTGTTCAAGCCATAGGGTGTCTCCTTTTCCTCAGCGTCACACAGCCAGGCTATCTGCAGATGTCACCTTTCACCCTTTCCACTTACAGTCCTTTGTCTCCACTGCTGCTGTCTATGCCAGGGACCTGTAATACTCCTTAACTTACCTCATCCTGCCTCAGATGTCGACTCTTCCTCAGGGATGCCCTCCTGACTGCCCTTTATGGATCAGAACCGGCTGTTGTCTTTTGAAGTGATAACCCACTTCCCACAACAATCTTTTTCTATTTCTTTAGCTTTAGTACTTCCTGTCAATGACAAACACCATGTTAATTTATCTCTCACTTCCCACTTTCGCCAGCTTCTAAAACATCATCCCCTTAGCTCTTCAGGAGATCTCAAAAATGTGGAAGTTTTTTAAAAGATCCTGGAAACCTGTTGCTGACCTTTGCTCTCTGTATTTAACAAAGGCTGAAGCATCACATTCCAAAACAACGACATGTATATGTCTTTCATCTAAATGTTGGTATTATATAGTAACAGTAACGCCATTTCACGAGCAAGGAAACTAAGAATTAGAGGAGATTTGCAACGACATACTGCTGGGTGCACAGCTTTGAACTGATTTCTGAAGTTGTTATCCCTCTTATTAGATCACATACCAACTATATTTTGACTGCTACAGTCATGAGAGTTCAGGTTGCTTTGGGGTACGTCTTCTTCCAAGGAGGTGAAAACAATCTTGGTTTTACTGGGTGCTGCAAAACTCATCAAGATGATGTTTCTGCTGTACATAGCATGTACCACCTTCCTATAGATGCAATATATACAATGTTTCCTTGAGGCTTATAAGTTATCAGATACAAAATATGTAATACTTTCAAAGTAAGATAATTTAACATAAAAAGGTCAGTATTACCATCTCCTTAAGACTGGGACTGGATTTGTGGTAAAGTCTACTGCAGAAGCAGATACAATAAAGTGGGGGAAAGGTTGATATTTCTTCAGTGATTCAGCTTAAGGAGTACACATATAAAGGCATTTTTAGCCTTCCAAAGGTCGCTGGTGTCTTGTAGCTGCAATACTGGCCTACATTCTATGGGTGAATGGGAAGCACCAACCTTGTAGAGCTTTCTAGATAACTTTGAAATATATCCCATTATTACAAAGGAGTGTTTAATATCCTTTTATGGCAGTCATAGTAAGTTCGGTGGAAATGGTGGTGCTCCATCAGAGATACTCAGCAATAGTAATGGGGTAGTAATTCTACTGACTTAGAATTTCACTTTATTCCAATTAGGAGATGCTCTAAGAAACCTGCTCTCCATTGATAGCTTTATAGAAAGCGATTAGCACACATGCAGAACTAGTCTGTCAAAATGAAGAGGCTCCATCGTGGGGCTCTTATAGCTTCTGCTTTCCTTTTTCAAAGAGTGTGGCCATTGATCTTTCCTCCACTGCTTGTATTTATCAGTTCAAGAATAATATGATAGAAAACATTTTGGTTTGGATTTGCTCTTTTAATTCAACAACTTGAGATCCATTCATGTATATCAGCAGCTTGTTCTCCTTTACAGTTGAATAACATTCTATGGTATAGATTATAAAGGTGTGTTCATCCTTCTTTCATGAAGAGCATTTGGGAATAAGCTATTTCAGTTTGGGACTCTGACAAAACCATCATGAACACTATCTACAAGCTTTTGGTTGAACATAAATTTTTATATATGGCATAAAAATCCAGAAGTGTGATTGCTGGGTCATGGGTTTTAATTGCATGTTTGATTTTTCTTGGACACTACCAAACTTCTGGAATGGCTGTCCCATTTTACATTCTGAACAATAATTTATGAGGAATACATTTTTCTGCATCCTTGCCAACTCTGGTACTGTCAGTACTTTTTAAAAACTATTCTCATAGATGTGTAGTGAAAACAGATGGATTGTTAGTGGTATTTTTGGAACTCCATATAGATACTCCAATGAACTTTCTATAGTGAACATGAGTTCTTATACCACAAATAAGCAGAGTACTTTAATGATGAACGGAGAGTAGATCAGACCTTTGTCCTCTACCTTTATAAAAAGTGAGCATAAAATCATAGAAATTTAAGCCCCCTAGCAACTACAAAACACCCTGTGTATCTGTAACAGACTTGGAGCCCTTGGAGTTGTATTCAGGAAAGAGCAGACAGAAGATTGGTTGTGGTTGACTATCTTTCTTGTGGCCTGATTCTCACTGGCCGGTTGATAAAAAGCCCTGGCAGGGTGGGGGCTTTCCAAAGAATCCTTCATTCTTGAGTTAGAGGACAGTGAGAAAGGGGTATTCACACTGATCTAAAAGCACAGACCACTGGAAAATACAGTCTAACAAAATGAATTTTCCTACTGAGGAAATTTAAACTAGTTTAGTGCATGAAAGTTATAAGTTTTAATCTTTAGTCTTTTGTTTAATTATATCTCTCTACATGTCTTATTTCTTTTTTCTTCTATACAATGAAATGATGAACATTGCATCAAGCTCCACAGCTTAGCTGGTTAAAGCACCTCTCTGGAAACACAGAAAAAAAATTCTAATTGTGAAAGATTGTGGAGACATTCGTTCACTCTACGCACCATCCCTGGGGACTGCAGCTCTCCCTGAGAAACCTTAAGGAGTGGAGAAAGGCGACTGAAGTCTTCAGAGCAGCAGCCTAAAACTGTCCCTGACTGTTCAGCTTTGGGTTAGCTTTCCACTTTTACTGCAAAAGACACAAGAAAGTAGAAAAGTCATGGGCTGTGTATCTTATTTACAAAGACTTGAGTTTGGATACATTAGTTTAAACTTTTTGTGCTCCAGTTTGTTCATTTTTAAAATATCTACCTATTGCTAGGCTGTGGTGATGCATGTCTTTTTTAAAAAATATTTTTATTTTATAATTAATTTAATTTTACATATCAGCGACAGATTCCCCTGTCCTCCCTCCTCCCACCCCCAGCCTTCCCCCCCAATCCACCCCCCATTCCCACCTCCTCCAAGGCAAGGTCTCCCCTGGGGATTCACCCCAGCCTGGTAGATTCAGTTGAGGCAGGTCCAGTCCCCTCCTCCCTGCATCAAGGCTGAGCAAAGTGTCTCAGCATAGGCCCTAGGTTCCAAAAAGCTAACTCATCCACCAAGGACAGGTCCCAGTCCCACTGCCTGGGGGCCTCCTAAACAGTTCAGACTCATCAACTGTCTCACTTATCCAGAGGGCCTGATCCAGTTCCACGGGGGCTCCTCAGGTATTGGTCCACAGTTCATGTGTTTCCGCTAGTTTGCCTCTTTGTCCCTGTGCTTTCTCCATCATGGTCTCAACATCTCTCGCTCATACAATCCCTCTCTCTCTCTCTCTCTCTCTCTCTCTCTCTCTCTCTCTCTCTCTCTCTCTCTCTCTCTCTCTCTCTTTCTCTCTCTCTCTCTCTCACTGCTTGGACTCCTGGAGCTCCACCTGGGGCTTGGCCATGGATCTCTGCATCTGCTTCCATCAGACACTGGATGAGAGTTCTATCATGACAGTTAGGGTGTTTGACCATCTGATCAGATCACCAGAGCAGGTCAGCTCAGGCACTCTCTCGACCATTGCCCGTAGTCTACAGTGGAGGTATCTTTGTGGATTTCTGGGGACCTCTCTAGCACTCTGCTTCTTCCTATTCCCATGGGGTCTTCATTTATCGTGGTATCTCTTTCCTTGTTCTCCCACTCTGTTCCTGGTCCATCTGGGACCTCCCACTCCCCTAAGCTTGCTTTCCCCCTGACCCTTCCCCTCCATTACCGCCCCCCCCCCCCCCCAGTTTGCTCATGTAGATCTCATCCATTTCTCTGTCATTGGGCGATCACTGTGTCTTTCTTATGGTCCTCTTTACTAGGTAGCCTCCCTGGAGTTGTGAGTTGCAGTCTGGTTATCCTTTGCTTTACATCTAGTATTCACTTATGAGTGAGTACATACCATGTTTGTCTTTCTGAGTCTGAGTTACCTCACTCAGGATGATATTTTCTAGTTCCATCCATTTATGGCAATCTTACCAAAAGCAATCTACAGATTCAATGCAATCCCCATCAAAATCTCAACACAATTCTTCACAGACCTGGAAAGAACAACACTCAACTTCATATGGAAAAACAACAAACCCAGGATAGCCAAAAGAATCCTGCACAATTAAACAACCTCTGGAGGCATCACGATCCCTGACTTCAAGCTCTACTATAGAGCAACAGTAATAAAAACAACTTGGTACTGCCATAAAAACCGGCATGTCTTTAATCCCAGCACTGAGGAGGCAGAGGCAAACATATCTCTTGAGTTTGAGAACAGCCTGGTCTACAGAGTGAGTTCCAGGATACCCAGTGCTACACAGAGAAACCCTGTCTTGAGAACTGAATTAATTAATTAATTAAATTATCTTCCTGTTGACAAATGGTATTATGTAAAATTAAAAAGCTTCTTACAGCACAGGAAATAATCACTAGGAAGAGACCACCCATAGAATTGGGGGGATCTTTTTCAATTATACATCAGATAGGGGATTAATATCTAAGATATATAAAGAACTGCAATAGTTAAGCACCAAAAATCCGATGTCAATCAATAAATGGCCTAAGGAATTGAATATATACTTCTCAAAAGAAGAAACAATATGACTAGTAAGTACTTGCATGTTTAACTGCCTCAGCCATCAGGAAATGCAAATTAAAGCTGCTTTAAGATTCTGTGTCACCTCAGCCAGAATGCCATAGCCAAGATAAATGATTACAAATGCAGATGACTATGTGGGGAAAGAGGACCTCTTCTTTACTGCTGCTAAGAATGTAAACTCATTCAGCCACTATGGAAATCAGTGTTGAGGCTTCTCAAAAAGCAAAACAATAAAATCACCACAGGACCCTACTAGACCATCTTGGATTCACACCTGAAAGACCCTGAGTCAACATGCCACAGAGATACTTGCACATTCATGTTCATTGCTTCACTGTTCACAATAGCAGGAGATGGGAACCAGCCTAGATGTCCATCAACAGATGAATAGACAGAGAAAATGTGGCACAGATACACAAGGAAACTTTGTGCAGTCATTAAAAAAAATTAAATAGTAACATTTTCAAGAAAATGGATGGAACTAGAAATCATTAGGTTAAGTAAAAGAAAATACACTTGGGAGAATCTAGATTTAAAATTATGTGTGTATGTATGCATGTATGCATGTACTTCTCTCTGTGTGTGGTCATGAAAGTAGAAAGGACACAGTGAGGAGGTAGGCAGATATCTGAAGAGACACAGGAAAAAGAGATGTTAATGGAATACATATGATGAATAAGAAGAAAAAGATGCTATCTGAGTAGGAAGGGACCAGCGAGGAGGACAGGGAAGATGTGTGGGGGCGGGTGGACCAGCACAGTCCAGTAATGTTTGTATATGAAAATAACATAATGAAGACCATTGTTCAACATGCTAACCAAAACAAACCCAGGAAATTAAGTAAAGTGTATACCAAGGACAGGTTGAAAGAGTAAATGAGATAATGATGTAAAAGCTACTGTCATAGTGCTAAGAAAATAGAAGATAAATTTATTAAAATTTATTACATCCTTTATCTTTTTTCATACTCCCTAAAATTGTCCTGATAGCTATAAAAATGCACATTTTCTTATCTAATAGAATCACCAGCCATGTGGGAAGCTACACATTAGCTGTTTATTCTAAAATGTGGGTTTTTTTAATTTGAATATTTGGTGGCCAGTTTATTTACTATTGTAAAATGTGTTTTAAGTGACACTGTACCACATTTGAGCTTTGACAACAAGCTAGAAAATTCTCATTCATACAGAAATGTCTCATTTTCCTTCCCAATTTATCACCTATTTGGAGACTTATAATCACTAAGACACAAATACATTTTGTGAGATTATGAAATAGGTAAAGCTTGAAGTATATGTGCATACCATACCCATTTTCCGTTTCAGCTCTTCTGTACAGAGTGGAAAGGAAGTAAGACCAACTCAATAAGATTCTAGTATTTTTTTCAGTGTTGCTCATCAACACAACAAAAAGAACACTTCTATACTAGATTTATGAAAAGAGTAAAATTTGGTAGTGTTTTTATGATGATTATTTTATTCATATTGCATTGTGGGCTATGAGTATGTACATGGAAATGTACTGTTCTTAAGTGAGGCTGACTACTTACCTACCATCAGTCATGGACTATATGGTGATGGGATTGGAAATTATTCCCAACCCACATGGAAGCCAAGTATCATGCCATCCCTAGGCTTAGCTCTGGAAAAAGAAGAGGGGGGACATTCAGCATGAATTACTAAAGAATTTATACTCAGAATGAAGATGAAAAGACTGTCTGAAGGCACAGCACAGTAGTGAGAAGGAAATGCTCAAAAGCATCATCTAAGAGAACTAACATCTTTCCACTGGTGGTCACGTCGTGTAGCCACAGATATATGTGGATTTGATGCACTGTAGTGAGCAAGATGGTCCTGAGCATTTTGGGTTTGCCTTCAGAACCCTGTAGAAAGACTTTACTTTGAATCTTTAGCTGAAGTCCTACTTAGAGGAACTCATACATACAGGCCAGGGAGCAAGTAAAAAATCCATAGGACGCTTATATTCAGGCCTGTCTGATAAAGGTCCCTTTGAAATATATAAGCTCCATGTCTCCTGATCAAAAATTAATTTTAAGTAGCTCAATTTGGCATGGCAGTAGTTTAGCTTTTGTTTTTAGTGAAATTTAGTGAGCAGTGAAAATATAATTTGAATATATAAAATATATGAGTTCATATGAGTGTGTACACACACACATTAGTTAAGAAGTCTCGGAATATTTGATTAGTTACTTTCAGACTTATTTACATAAACATTCTGTGGTGGTTTGAATAAGAATAGCCCCCATAGGCTCATATACTTGTATGCTTAGACACTAGGGAATGAAACTCTTTGAAAGGATTACAAGGATTGGGGGTGTGGCTTTGTTGGAGGAAGTGTATCACTGGGTGTGGGGTTTGAGATTCCAAAAGCCCATGCTAGACACAGGCTTGCTCTCTCTGTCTACAGATTAGGATGTAGTTCCCAGCTACCATCCCTCTGAAACTGTGAGCAAGCCCCCAGTCAAATGCTTTCTTTTGTAAGAGTTGCCTTGGTCATGGTGTCTCTTCACAGCAGTTGAACAGTGACTAAGGCATAGTCCCAAGAATGTATTTGCCATATTGAGGAAGGACTATGTTAAACTGGATATTGATCATTATCTGGGTGTTCATTGCTATTAGCATTTATGCCATAATTCTGGCCAGTTTTCATTTACTGTTTTCTCAGAAGAAAATTAGAGTAGTAGTCACATGAAGTTCTCCTTGAGAAGAGCAGTGTTTGCTTGTCTCTTCTTGTTGCTTCTTATCCACTTAGCTACACCTCATCTGGACGTCCTAGGATCGGGAGTATGACCCAAGTTCAATAATAAAGTGATTATTTGGGGAAAATGCACATACTTTTATTTTGATACATAATATGATTTTTGAAAATAAACTGAAGGAAGTTTGCATTGGCTAGTTGCCTCAACTAAAGTGGGGCCTCTGGAGTCCATCCCTAGACCAAAGTCCCATATGGATTTTTATGTGTGGCATCTGGAAGTCTATTATGTGAGTTTCTCAGGTTTCAATTCTAGCCTCATCCATAAACTACATCTTTTAAATGCTAAGCTAACATTCCCTAAGTTTATCAGAACCAGTCGGGAAATAAAAAGATGCAGGCTTTTCCTAGTATGTTCAACTTGGTGCATCCAAATGTTTGCTTTATCTATGACCATAGGACATTTCTTGTTCCATAAAATATGAGAGCTGTAAATACATTTGAACTTAGAACATTTTTTTATGCACAGTAAGATTAAAATCATACCAACTTAGCAAGGGCAATGATGTCTCTTTCCTTAAAGCAATGAATACACTTTTTTTTTTCAAGGACAGGTTAGAAATTATATTCATCCTAGAACATGTTGGGAATCTTTTTTATTTGTGAGCTAGTGTTAAATTTCACTAAGCTGCAATTTAGATAGTTCCATAAGAATTCTTAAGAAATAGTTGTTATGAGTACTCAATTTTAGAGTTATCAAATAAATAATCAAACACCATCTCTGTATGACTGTGTTTCGTGAGGCATATTGGTGAATGAGACAGCGCAGAATATCTCCCCACCATTGATGCCACCCTTCATGGCCACCCTTGCACATATGGAGTTTATGAAACATTCTGCTAACTTTGTCTCCAAATCATCTCACACAACTTCTTTTTTAAGCATTACATTACTTTTTTTTTTTTTAAACAGGGGAAAAGGTCTGATCCAATTTATAGCTCTTTTCCTTTTAATCCTTGGTCTTTTTCCATATTTGGTTCTTTCAGAGCTTCTCACACATTTTTCCTCTTTTTTAATCTGGGAAAATTTAGCTTTGGCGCACCATCTGTTCCGTAGTGAAGCGCGTGTACTCAGCCTCCCAGATGGGTTGAATAAGAGAAAAAGGTTAAGCGATTTAACTTGAATTCATACAGTGAGTCATCTGCCCTCAGCCCAGGCGTGACGAAGTGGAAGACTGTCAGGATTTTCCTTACACGAATTTGGATCACACAACTCTGAGCAGAACTTTCTCCAAAATGGACAGAGTGTCAAGTACGCTCAATATTGTTGGGCAATAATGTGAGTTTCAAATTTATTTCTTAAATACAACATTACAAAAAAACTTTTAAAAAGTAAACATGTCCTTTTGGCAGGAAAGGAAAACATTGTTTTCCATGGCATTGCTTTCTAGCTGGTATTTTTACCACTCTTTCCTCTCCCTTCCAACGCGTCTTTCAAGCTGGCCCTGCGTTGGGTCTGAAACAGCACACTTGTCTCACATCCCTGCTTGGGAATAGTCCGTTTCTTCCTACAAACGGGGCGCTAAGGGACACCAGCTCGCCAAAAGTGCCCGAAATCCATGTTTTTGAAAGCTTCCTTAGTCTAAAGGCCAGTGCTTTAACTCAGTTCTAGTTTAGATAACAATATTTCCGTTGCAGGAGCCAGTTCAGACAGCAGGAGATAGCCCCATGGCTTAATGTCGGTACTAATAAAAAGTTATTGCGTACCTCAAAGGAAAAGGGAGTCACTTGGATACCATGATGAGGCTCTAGAGAATCAGGGGTGGTTCTTGTTCCTTGGGAGTTTGGCTTCTAATTGGTGCCACGAGAAAAGTATCCCTGTTTCGGGTAGAGACAGGTCATTTCATTCGTGAGCCAAAGTCTATGACAATTTGTTTAGAATCTTATATGTAGTTATTCTCTATTTTTTTTTCTAAGCTAAATTATTCTTTTAACAGTTAATTCAGTTATGTACTCTGGTATGGGATAAATATTTGTTTCCCTCCAAAATTCAAATGTTTAAAAAAAAAAATCTCAGCCCCCAATGTGATAGGTTAGGAAGTGGGACCTTCAAGAGGCAGTTAGGTTAAAAGGGTGGGGTCCCATGCATATGATTATTATAGTTTTCTTTCTCTCGTGTGAGGCCATGATGAGAAGACAGCCATCTGTAAACCTGCAGAGGGTCCTCAGCACACAGTCTGCTGTCATCATGGCCTTGGACTTCCTGTTCTTTAACATGGCCAACATATGCGAAGTCATTCTGTCCTTAATGTTTTCTGGCAAGGATCTAAATCTCTCAGCTTACCATGAAGCTGTAGCACTGTTCGATTAGTGGTTAATGTAACCTATTTGAAGCTATATAAATTCACTGTAATTATCTATTTCCAAAAGAATTTTGAAGAAAAAAAATTTGCTTAGAGGATTAATTCAAGTAAAGTTTCATTAAGACAAAATAATGTGGGCATTAAAAGATAAATAGCTATATAGAGATAACAAATGATGAATGGAGGGTTCATAGCATTATATCTAGCCCATAATTTAATGACTGTTCTCTTGTAAGTGAGTGTTACTCCCATAAGAATATGCACAAGTTCCAGGCAGTGGTGGTACACACCTTTAATCCCAGCACTCAGGAGACAGAGGCAGAAGAATCTTCAAGTTTGAGGCCAGCTTGGTCTACAGAGCGAGTTCCAGGATGGCTATTGCTACACAGACAAACCTTGACTCAGAAAACAAAACAACAAAAACCATACAAAAAACAAAACAAGCAAATAAACAAAAAAGAATATGCACAATGGGGCCAGTAAAATGGCAAGATGGTTCAGTGGGTAAAGGCACTTGCTGCCAAGCCTGAGATAAAGACCTGGATCCAACACCAGCTCTCACAAGTTGACCTCTGACCCGTACATGCTTTCCCTAGCACATTCATGACAGCACACAAATAAACGGATACACAAATAAATAAATGTAAAATTTTTAAAGTTGTAAAGACATTTATATGATGACTGCAACAACCTAGAAAATTAATTTGAATACTTACATCACAGAAGACCAACAACATTTAAGGTACTTTGCACTTCCAAACATGGTTTTGTCTCCATGAGTCTTCAGACATGGCTAACTGCTCTCCTCATCAGCATCATCTCGGTGTCTTAATTGCTTGTCCGTTTCTATCTTCCCACTGAGACTACAGAGTAGGCACTCTGTCTTCTTACTGGAGAACGCCTCAGATTAGTCCCTGTAACCCTGTGTAACACATCACTGAGATAAATTGCATTGTGGGTCATTTGTCTCCATCTTAGAGGCAACCTTAAAACAGAAATCTAATCAAATAAAAAAGCATCTATAAGCCAGTATGAATAGAGTTGTGTGCTAAACACAGACACTGGGTTACACAGGACTTCGCTGGGAGGTGATAGTGTCCTGGCAGGTGCCTGGGGACCATCTCGGTGGCAGGATGGGCAAAGAATTCTAGGATACAGGAACAGATTTGATTTTCAGTAACTGGAGGGAAGGAAATCGCCTTATTCTCATCGTTATCTAGCCAAGGAGTCTCAAAATGTTGACTACATTTCTTTCAATCACATACAATCCAGGAAGATGCCAGCATGGGCAGATGGATAGTTTTCAGATCCACACTTGGGAAACACATGGTGCCTCTCTGAGGCAATTGTGTACTGTTTCTTTTAAAATAGCAGAAAGCATATGGGAACAGGAATGGATCTGTCAGCTACTATCAAGAGAATAGTGAAGCTTTTAAAATAAATCAAATCAAACCTACAGGGTGACAAAATATCTTATCACATTTTGAAATTCTGAAGTTTTACATTTGTAGATATATGTACAATTTTTATCTCTTTTTTTTTTCTCATAGAAACCACAATCCCTCTTAGAGCTACTGAATCTGAGGCAAAAAAAGTGAGAAAAGGTCAGTGTAGTAAGAAAGTGTGGAGCGATTACATAAATCAACATCGGAGTACTTCCACTCTTTATTATATCACAGGGTCTCTCCCCCTAAGAAATGGGTGTGTAGAACAGCTGTGACAATCTCCTCCACCACCTCTGCTTTCCTTTCCAAACACAAACACACAAACAGAAACATGAGGCTTGCACGTGTGAAAAGCTTGCTTCAGCTAAGTAAGCCAGGTATGAGAGATGCTGGCCACAGACTTCCAACAGCACAGGGCTGTGGACAGCCAGCCTCCCTGGATGCTCTCGGTTCCTTTTGGCAGGATGGCTCCCCATCCCCTCTAACCACAGCGCTTTCATGAATGAATTTCCTAACCAGGTCATAGCTTCTTAATGCTAGACTTAGAACTCTACCATACTCTATGTTTTCTATGGCAATCTAGCTCTCCCCCAAATTATTATTATGGGATTTGAAATGATTTAACTTCAAGGAAAATGATTTCATAGGGCAAAACCCAAGGAATTAAAGGAGCTTTAGATAGCAAGACTCTATTTCAGGAAAATATTTTTGTTCAAGGTGAATGACTTCCTTTGCCTTTTATCCATGCAGGATCCTTGATCCCGGATATAGCAAAAGCTCTGTTGGTGGCTTTGAAGTCACATGCTCTCCCTCCTGGGGCAGGGCTGCATGTCATTCTTCTTGACTTCCACTTGTGTGAACTTCGTTTTGCAAATCTGTAGCATGATGGTGTGAGTTCCTTGGTGTTAATTTGGGAAGACTGTTTTGAAAACAAGGTTGTGTTCTCATCCATTGATTTCTAGAGTAGGTGTTACAGGCACTGTAAGTCAGTATAGCACATATCATTCTCTCAAAATGTTTGGGGGAATCTTGGATAATACACAAAGCAACAGAATAAGGAAGAAAATGATCAAACCAAATGTACAAGTGAAGTACTCTGTGAGCTTGGAAGAACAGTAACTAGGTAATCATAGATGTTCAGTGTTCATAGATATTTGACTGATTTTTTTTTCTTGTAATATTCCAAAACAACCTCTTGACACAGTAAAACATGTTTTGATCTAAGTGTGCCAATCATGTACCACTAGCACATGAAGTTTTGTATGTCTAAATGACACTAAGTTATCAACAGCATCCCAGCTTATTCTTAGCTTGCTCTTGCATTTTATCATAACTTCAGGCAGAAGCTGAGAGCAATTTCAAGATCACATGTGCTTTATTTTTATGGTTCTTAAAATGAAACTGCATGCAATTCAAATCCTAATTTTGTGTTGTTTAAAGTCCAATAAAAGCTACTTTTAATTAATTTTTAGTATCTGTTTCAATTTTAGAGACACAGTGTTCCCAAGACAGAACTAGAGTTCCATTCATATCTTCAGACTACTATTCTGAATTAAATTAGGAGCAAAAGCTCAAATTTTGGAATAAGTGATTTTCAATGCTCAGCCCTAGGGGGAATATCTGTAGCACCCTTCAAAGGCTCAGTGATCATGTGGGAGATGGGACAGAAAGCATGTAAGAGCCGAAAGACAGGGAAGGGCTACACAATGCCGTTCTTCTGAGCTTGGCATAGTCAGCGTGGCCATAACCTCACAGCAGCTGTGGCTGCCTACAGTGGGCCTATCTCCAGTCAGTCAGAGATGGGAAGAGGTTCCTGGAGCCATGCCCTCTCTCCTGAAATTTGATTTTGACCGTAATGGTGTCACAGTCCCTAGGTTTAAATCTCTTCCTGAGATAGGACCAGGAAATTGATTCTCTTTGGTTCTAGAAGCACTGGCCTCTAGGTGGCAAATATAAAGTTTTCACTAGTAGTAGAGTGAATACTGATTTCCAGATAGATGGTAGTTGAGTGTCTCCTGCCCTTCTTCCCACTTCAGCATTTCAACGGAACTCCAGAGTTTTGTCTTTGCTCCATGGTTAGTGCATTCGCTGGACTGAGGTAGAGGCCTGGACTTCTGGGACTCAGTTTGCCCCATCTTTCATATTACACTGTGATTGGCAAGGAAGTCAGACTCCTTTTCCCTTGGTGAATTGGCAATCTTTGAGAGAGCAAAGTCTATTTCACTTTCGAATTTCCAAGATCCCAGGATAATGTCTTTTATACATTCTAATTATAAGAGAAAAGGGGGTAAGTGGGCTGTTAAATAGAACAAAATTTCTTTTAACCCCATTTGTAAGCACCAGCCAGCAGTAATGTTAGAGTCTCATGTGGAAGAATATTTTATTTCCTCTGCTCACCTTTAAGTCTCATGACAAGAGATTAGAAAATTTCCCAGAAACAGGTGCCAGGCTGTAAGCAGAGTTTTTCATGGAGACTAACCATCAACTCTATCCAATCAGCCACTCCCAAATAACCACACAGAGACTTATATTAATTATAAATGATCAGCCAATAGCTTAGGCTTGTTACTAACTAGCTCTTACAACTTAAATTAGCCCATATTTCTTATCTAAGTTCTATCAGGGGGTTCATGGCTTGTTACCTCATTTTCTACACATCTTGCTTCCTCTGTGTCTGGCTCAAGACTCCTCAGACTTCACCCTTCTTCTTCCCAATGTTCTCTTTGCCTGGAAAATCCTGCCCAGTCGTCAGCCAGTGAGCTCTTTATTGAGCAATGAGAACAATACATATTTACAGTGAACAACAGGATTATTACATTGCACCAGGCTATGAGGCTAACTTTGTCTCATTTGGATGCAGCACTGTGTAGAATTACCCAAGAAACCAGTGGCCAAAAATCTTATAAGTCAGTATAGTACTTTCTACTGACAAATGCCCAGGCACCTTTCTCAACTTCTGTTTCCTGGAGCATCTTCTCATCACACTCAACCTCTGGTATCATAGACAGTGAAGCAGGCTTCATCATCAGCAATACTGGCAGGTGATAATAGGGAGAGGTAGCACATTATTGTAATTTAAGTTTAAACTACACAGCTTCCAGTAACTCAGCCAGTCTTGTAGGATTGTTTCCAAGGTGACACTATCAATTATAGTTCGAAGGAAAAAGAGTATTTGCAAGGAGGAAAGAACGTGTACAGGAATCTAATTTCTACTCATTGGTTTCTTTTAGCATACATTTCTCTTTTAATTAATGATTTTTCTTTCTTTTTTTAAATAAAAAAAATTTGCTTAACAGAAATTGCATTTTACATGAAGAAAGACCTCCTCGGTACAGGTAATGATCTACAGAGAGGATATTTTGACCCATATGATGAAGACATGTGGGCTTTTTCTCCCTGGAGACAAACAAAAGCATACATGAAAATGTTCAAAAAGTATAGAAAAAAGAGAAAAGAAAAAGTATAGAAGAGAGCTGTTCAGTTGTTGAATGCCTTTCTGTAAGGAAGTCTGGGCTGTGGTTTGAGTTAGAACATTAATGGTACCAAAAGCTGACACATGTAAAATTCTGAAACCTTTACAAATCAGTTATATTAAAATGCATATCATATGTCACTATACATGTAATTTTAATCACTACCTTAACCAAATACATATTTAAATAATGGGCAATCAGTGCAACAGTTTGGTATGCATTTCTTAGGAATTCTGCATTCCATAGAGTCTTTTACTTTATTTTCTTTCTTTCCTTTTTTAGTTTTTGTTTATTTGTTTGCTTGTTTTCAAGATGCAGTTTTACTATGTAGCTCTGGCTGTCCTAGAACTCACTATGTAGATCAGGTTGGCCTTGAACTCATAGAGATCCACCTGCCTCTGCCTCCCAAATGCTGGGATTAAAGGTGTGTGATACTCTTTAGGTCATTTCCAATGAATAGATTGAGGTCTCTGTGTTCTGTCCTATCATTCTCAGTACATGTTCACTAAGTATTTATGATTAGGTTTAATTAGAGCAGACAGGTCTAATCTTAACTGATTTCCAAGAGTCTTAAGCCAAAAGAAATTGTCTTTCCTAAATCATTGTTATACACTGAAATAAGTCTCCAAAATGTGTTTGTTAAAGCCCTAACCCAAGATTAGTTTAGAGATAGGATCTTTAAGGTGATAAGGATAGGTCCCTCACCTTTAAGGTGATAAGGATAGGTCTCTTATCTAATGAGAATGGTGTCCCTACAGAGAGAAGGGCAGGCCCCAGAACAGTGAACAGAGAGAGAAAGTCCATGAGAAGACATGAGAGAAGCTGGGAAAGACCTTGAGAGGAAACAATACACTCTGTGCCTTATTTTGGACTTCCAGCCTCAGAAAATAGGAAAATGTATTTTTTGTCCCTTAAGCCACCTAGCTGGTCTGAAGTCATTGGCTAGGAAGATCTACTTGACCAAAGGGTTATGTTGCATGTGCTTTTTGAGGGTCTGCTGGACTCATGCCTCCTTTTTGCTAACAACCAAAGAAAGTATATAGCCAAAGAAAGCAGATTCCTAAAGCCGTAGATACACCCAGCACAAGTTGGGGACAACCACATTTTCTTTACTGAAAAGCTAAAGCTGGACATCAGAGCAATAGTCCTTGTCTATCAGAATTGAACTTATGATCTCAGGTGGGGGCTGTGCTGGCCACACACACAGATGTCCTCTATGTCAAAGATTCCTTTTAGTGCCCAGCTGAGCATCTAATACATATTAGGAACCCATTTTTTTGTTGTTGTTGTCTTCACATTTTTTCATTTTCACTGACTGCTTACTACTATTGGGTAGCCATTGCTGAGTCTTCCGTATGCTATCTAATCTTGTGCCTACCATAAGCTAAAGACACATGCCTATCTTACAGTTACTATTTCTGTGATAAAATGACATGACTAAAAGTAACTTAGGAAGGAAAGGTTTAATTTGACTTATATATCCTGAATCACAGTCCACTGATGAGGCTAAGGAAGGAACTCAGACGGTACAGGACTATGAAGGCAGCAGTTAAGGCAGAGGCCGTGAAGAAATGCTGCTTACTGTCTCGCTCAACCTGTTCTCTTCTAACATCCAGGACCACCACCATCCCAGGGGTGGCCCCACCCACAATGGGCTGGGCCTTCTCACATCAATCAACAATTAAGAAAATGCGATACCGGCTTGCCGACAGCCTGATCTTATGGAGGCATATTCTCAATTGAGTCTCCCTCTTCTCAGATGACTCTAGCTTGTGTCAAGTTGATGTAAAACTAAGCAGTGCAATGCCTTACAGGTAAACATCAGTCACAGAAATATTAATGCTCTTACAGTCTTGAAAAGCTGGTAATTAGTAAAGCAAATTCAGTTATCAGGTAGCTTGTCTCCAAAGTCCAAGTTCTGAACTACCATTTAGTTGCCTCTCTCTTTCAGAAGGAAAAAAAGAGAAAATGGAAAGAAGAGGGAAAAGCCAGTTGTTTTGCAGAGGCCTCTTTTTCTTTACAGACTTTAATAATAATGAACCCCCTCTGTTTGTAAGCAACATTGATGGTCCACTGTCTGCCCCTGGTCTTACACTAAGGTCCAAATTCATTGTGTGATATGGTTGTCCAGCCTAGGGCAGCTATAGCCTAACCTCCTCTCTCCTACTTCAAAGCTATTCTTTGGTCTTCTAGTTGGAATGATGACTGTGCAGTGGCCATTCAGAGACAAAACTCTGGTGAACGCTAGAAGGAAGTGTAGCATTGTGATGCGGGAAGCACATTACTGTGGATGAAAATGAGACTAAGCAGAAATCTAGGAAGGAAGAAGGCCAAGCATGTCAGCCTGAGGGAATCTGGTTATGGAGATCCTCTCCAGACTACTTCTGGAATGTCAAGGACCTTGCTAAGGTTTACCTGACTTGTCCGTTTTCCATGAATGTTCCGTCTTCCTATATGAGACCTATTGCTTTTAACTGAGAATTTGACAGCTAATTTTTATAGGTGGAAAACCCAAACTCCCTTAAGAAAAACTAGCATAAAATCAGGCTTAAGTATCTTACAACTAATATATGGACTTGAATTTAGAGATATACTGAGATGAATTTGTTTAAATATTGCTATATTGTACTTGGTCATTGTATGGCTTTAGGTCAAGACTCTAAGCTAATGTGGCAAAGAGACACACATTGCTCTTTAAAGCAGCAATCTACAAACCTGCACAATGAGAAATGTTTAGCCATTGAAAATAATGATTTCAACATGTACAAATGGTGACATGTTGAATTTAGAAAGCCCCAAATCATGTTTACAAGGATTTATTTACATAAATTTGGAGATAAATGGATTCCCCACCCTCTTCCCTAAAAACACTCTTGGACTGGTCTGTGTCTCTAGCATCATGAAAACGAGAGTAAAGCAACCCATGGGTCTCAAGTTCATCAAGGACCTGGGTAGATACCAATATTCCATACGGAGATTAAAGATGGAGAGCATATATAAGAAATGATATAGTTAACACTGAAGAATAGTGTGGAATAGTCATTTTTTGGTCATTCCTATTGGAAATCTTACCAAAAGCCTAGAAATTCCTTCAGGTTACTTGGGAAATGTAGTTTTTATTTGTTTAATCCCTAAAGCTTTGAGATGCTGAAAACCAAGATACATTAATTTTTTTTTTTTTTTTACACAGCTACAAAGCTCACTTGAGTTTCTTCAGGTAGTGAGAGGCATTCAACATCTACAATATCCCTACAGAGACATGTTTCATGGGTGAACAAAATCAGTCACAGCAATCTCAGTCATCTGCCTGTGTTTAAACAGTTGCCAGGTGGAAGAGTTGGTTTGAGCATCAGAGAGGTTGGCTCCCAAGTCCAAGTTCCCAACCTCAAAAACCAGAGAGTCATTTTTAAATTAACAATCAAAATTATGGATTCTCCAACTATAATCATATTGAGGACTTTAACTTCATTTGGACCAGTTGTCTTCTTAAAGTGTGTCCCACACATTCACATTTCCACATGGCATTACATTGCAGCTGTTCCAGGTTTTTTTTTTTTAAGATTGCATTAGATTTTTCCATTTAAAATTTTAGCAACCCAAGATAGAGAACTATCAGCACTGAAAAGGCAGTCTTCACATAGTCCATAGTCACAGAAACTGTAACACAGGATTCCACTCACCTTTGTGGTACAGTATACACAGATTGAGTTTAATCATCTTTATTAAAGGGATTAATCACAGACTGAATTAAAGCTGGATTAGTCTTAATCACTTACAAGCTTGCCATTTAAAGAGAGAGCATGCAAAGGGAGTCAGAAAAGAGGTTATGTGCGGTTACAAGACCTGAAGCTCATGGTATTTCCACACATCTTAATGTCTTCTTTCCAGGCCATACGTGGAACGCTAAACAACCCCGAATTTGACACCTCACTTTTCTTGAGTTACAGACCATTGCATTCCTTAAAACCAGTGACGGTCATGACGAGAAGGAAAGGCTTCTAAGGAGGAAGTGGCTGTCAAGGATGGCTCCACTGGAAATTTTACTTCTTCTGACAGCAGTTTTGACTCTAATGGATTAACCTCCAGGATTACTGTCTGCCTCCTCTGCCTCTTTCTACCCTTTGAAAGCAATGTCTGGGAGACTGTCATGTTCTTTTGTCTAGACTTGGTTTTCACATCTGAAAGGGGTATGCTACCTGCGTCAAGGGACTGAAAGTCCTGAAAGATTCCAACATCTTACACTCTACAGTGGTGTTTCCCTCCCATGAAGAATTCATGGTTCAGCATGAGAAGATCACATGTTTGAGAACTCCTGTATTCACCCTTCCTCCCAAATATCAGAGTAGGGGTGTGGGCTAACTACAATACCTATTTTTTTGATGATATAGAATATTTGAACTTGTGCCCTTGTCTCAATTAACATCTTTAAAGAGAAATAAGTGGACACTACATCCTTCCATAGATGAAATTTCCCTCCATGCTTAAAATACCATAGTTTTGAGTGTTGAGAAATGGGAAACTATGTGCCACACTGACTTAGGTGGGAGGCCTGTGAATGAAAATGGCTTGCTGCTGTAGGATAATGGCAACTTGTAGATAACAAAGTTATCCTCAATCATATCTTCACATTTTAATTAACCTGGAGAGATTTTGGTATTGTGGCTCAGCTTCCTAGAGATGTTAGTTGTATCAGTCTCAATATTGATTTGGGATTAAGTATCTTTCAAACATACTGTGATAGTCTAGCACTTAGCCAGCTTTGAGAACGATCTAGTCTAGCCTCTGGGCATCACTGCAGTGCTACCAGGTTGAGAAATTCATTTGAAGGTCCAGACTCATTTAAGAAACTAACTACATAATGCAGTTTCAGGAATCCACCTTAGTTCATTAATCTTATCAGCTTGCCCTGGATGGCTCAGAGTTAGAGAAGGAACCCCAAGATATCCCTAAAGTATATTGGTACCTACTAGAACCTGTCTGAAGGACTCCCACAGAACTCTAAACTCAGAATCTAAATGCCACACCATCAGGTAGTCTCTCTGTGCTAATCTCTGGTGTATGTGTCTTCTCTTTGCATTACTCTTTCTTTATAGTGCCCAAAGTAGGAGCTGGAACCAGCTTGACCCTGTGTACCAACTGCCACCTCCAATGTCCATCTTCAGCCATGAAGCTGCACTACTGTTTGAAAACAAATCATTAGAGAGTGTAAATATCTCTTCATCCACCAATGTTTTGTTCTCCTTCTCTGCCATCATTTCCCCTGGAAAGATGACAATGACTCTTCCTCCTTTCTGTTTCTTTTGTTCCAAATGCCAGCCTACAAGTTAAGTCTTAAGAGACAATGTGGGCGCTTTCTCTTGCAATTTGGAGGATCCCACAAAGGAGGTTTTGCTAGTTCTGTCTAAATGCTAAGATACACAGACTTGCAGGGAGGTGTTTGTGTGAGAGGGATTACATGACACAGCTGATGATCAAGGTCATTGGCAAATGCCAGCTCCACTCTCTTAAACCTGCCTTTCAAGCTCATTTCAGGTCCCTGTTCATTCTTTCTCTGAAGTGGTAGCTTAAGCTTGAGCTTTGGAAGGGTGCCACAGAAATTGTACTTAGAGGAAACATACTCAATGAATTTGTTTTATTTAATATGTATTTTTTCCCTGCACTAAAAACATGTATATCGTGATGTTGAGCAACTCTAACTCCAGAAATGTAGGCAAGCATTTATTTTCAGTATCTGTTCTAGAGAGAATAAGACACTCAGGAAGAGATGCAACTCTGACCTAAAACAAAACAGGTGTCACTCACCCCGATGATCCCAGCGTGTGGCTAATGACACAGAGCAGCACGTCAAGGCTCTCAGCTAGCTCAGTGTGTCCTGAGAGGTGAAGAAGCCGGTGGTTGAAGATGTCAGTGGGTCCAGTCCTACGGGAGCAAGCATTTATCCAGTCACCGTGAATTCTCTTCCTGATAGATCTTTTACCAGTTTTAAGACAATGCTCATTGTGAAACTTGGAAGAAATGGGATTGTGTAAGCGATTATATATTCAATTGCACTAGGCACTCTTTAAAAAAAAAAAAACTGTGCTAGTTTTACTTAATGGAATATTCAGCTAGAAGAAATAATCAACATTGAAAATAGAATTCCAGAGACCAAGAGAATTCAAGAAAAGTCTCAGTCGCTCAGCTTTCACACATTCAAAGTAGGAAACCTGAGGCTGGGGTGATGGTAGGGCGCTTGGCATGTTGTGCAAGCATGAGGCCTGAATTGAGATCTCCAGCACCCATGGAACATGAAGTTGGGTCTGGAGGCAAAGACCTGTTAACTCAGCGCTGGGGGAGAGGCAGACAGGAGGATCCCTGCAGCTCTACTCACCCCGTGTCTCTCTCTCTCTCTCTCTCTCTCTCTCTCTCTCTCTCTCTCTCTCTCTCTCTCTCCCCTCCCTCCTGTTCTTTCTGTTTTTTCCACCTCTTTCCTTATTTATTTATCTATTTATTTATCTATTTATTTATTTATTTATTTATTTATTTATTTATTTAGAGACAGGTCTCACCATGTATCCCTGTCTGGCCTAGAATATTCCATGTGTTCTAGACTGGCCTCCGACTCAGAAATCTGCCTGCCTCTGATTCTCCAGTGCTGGGATTAAAGGCACCACCTCACCAAGCTCTAACTAGTCGTTCTGGTTGACTGAGTAAACTTAGAGTTCAGTGAGAAACCCTGTCTCCAGAAGGAAGTTGGAGAGGGTTGCAGAGATGGCTGAGGGGTTTAAAGCACTTGCTGTAGTTAAAGAGGACCCTTGTCCACTTCCCAGCACCCCCATGGTAGCTTACAATTGTCTCCATAACTCTAGTTCCAGGGGATCCATCACCCTTTCCTGGACTTTGCAGGCACCAGGCACGTACCTAATGCACGTACATACTTGCAGGCAACGCAAACACATTAAATAAAAATAAATGAATTTTTAAAAAGAAAATGAGATGGAAAACAACAGACACGAACACCTAACATCAACCACCGGCTTCCACAAGAACGTGCAAGTACAGGCATGTACATCTGCACGTGTGTGTGCCTGTGACTACACACACACAAACAAACACACACACGTAAAAGCAACCTCTCACCTCACTCTCAAGACCTGGAGTGAAAGGAACATACAACTTTCTCCAATAATCTGGATCCCTGAGTACATTTTAGACCTGATTCTTTGAGGATCTCTGGAGCTTTTATTTGTCAAGTTCTGTCTCAGAAGTATGATAAACAAAAGCCCTAGAAAGTCACAACTGTAGGAGAACACTATGATCAGCTATTAAAATAAACACTTCTGAGTCAGGCAGATCTGAGTTTAATAAAATTCTAGCACTTCCTAGATGTTATCTTTGGCAGTTGTTAAACCTCTGAATTTCAGCTTCTCCTAGCAATCAAAACAATGGGAAGCCCACAGCCCAGCCATGTTCACAGAATAGAGATGAATCTATAAGACACTTGCACCAGCTTTGCCTGGGCCTCCATCTCATATCTGTAGTCTAAGCTGCTTGTTCTTTGCCTTGCAGCTGTTAGGAGTCACACTGCACTCCTCTTTCCCCCCATGCTGCACTCTGCTTCAATAATGAAAACAGGTTTGGCTCCACAGAAATAAGCTGGGGTCAAAGAACTGGCAAAGGAGTTGGGACGTAACTGGGGCATTAGAAAACGTACAGAATTAACTTGTCAGAAGAAGAGAGGGAGATGGCTAGGGTTGGGGGACTAAAACTATTTCCATCCTTGTTCCTTGGCTAGATAGGTTAGCTCAACCATAGAATATTTCCACTGATATTAGAGACTGAAAAAAAATCCCAAATTTGAAATTTCAGGTAAGGAAAATAATATTGTGCCTTGAATGACTTGGCCTTCAGCATTCTCTGTGATTAGATTTCTTTTCTTTTTTTACATTTTAATATTGTATGACATGTTGTTTGAAGTATAGTGAATGACTCTCTTTTGTGATTGTCAAAATGACTAGGTTTTCTATTAGAGAAGGCTAGTTAATCAACTTAGAAAGTAAATGAGTAATACATTTCCAAAGGACTGCTCTTCCTGGCAAGGATGTCCAACCTTTTGACGTTACAACTTATTGTTGCCACCTACAAAGTTCATGCCTAAGGATCATCTGCTGTGGGATGTTCTGTGTGGCAAATGTGTTGCTGATTAGTCAATAAATAAAACACCGATTGGCCATTGGCTAGGCAGGAAGTGTAGGCGGGACAAGGAGGAGAATAAAGCTGGGAAGTGGAAGGCTGAGTCAGAGAGACACTGCCAGCCGCCATGATGACAAACAGCATGTGAAGATGCCGGTAAACCACAAGCCATGTGGCAAGGTATAGATTAATGGAAATGGATTAATTTAAGCTGTAAGAACAGTTAGCAAGAAGCCTGCCACGGCCATACAGTTTGTAACCAGTATAAGTCTCTGTGTTTACTTGGTCGGGTCTGAGCGGCTGTGGGACTGGCAGGTGAGAGAGATTTATCCTGACTGTGGGCCAGGCAGGAAAACTCCAGCTACAATCATCAAATCAATTAATATTTTTAAAAAAAACAAATAAAGCAAAAACTTGGGGACACTGAGAAAATGGCTCATTTGGTAAAGTACTTGTTGCACAGATGTGAGTGGCAGAATTGGGGTCCTCAGGACTCATGTAAATGCCAGGTTGTGGCCTGCCTGTAATCTGGCTAGATAGACTACACCAACAGACTAACTCTGGGTTCAAGTTAGAGACCCTGTCTCAGCGTATGAGGTGGAGTGTAATCAGGGAAGACATCCAAGGGCGATCTCTGGTCTCCACACATCCGTGCACACATGTGTAAAACACCCACAAATGCACATGCATGCCCACACATGAAAAGACACACACAGACCTTTTGAAATCATACGTGTAAACAACCAGAATGTTTTAAGTCAATTTACAACTTTGTTTTGGACTGCATTCATAGCTATCCATAGCCAGCCTAGGGCTGCAGGCAGCACATTTAAAGTTAACTATTTAAGTATTTGTGAAGGTTGATGTTCCCTGAAAGTTCTAATGCAGTGGTGTGCAGTGTTCACGTACTTACATCTTTGTGTGCTATTCATTCAGTGTAAGCCACTGTTGCTGCCTCCCTGAAGATGTTTTGAAGGTAACAAGTAAAACAAAGTAAATACTAGTATTTCCTCATGTCTATAGCTTAAATAGTTGTTTTCTCTCACAAACTTGCTTGTAGAGCTGCCATTAACCTAAAGAAAATCTCTAAGACATCAAGCTATGTAGCATGAATCTTAAAGAGTCTTATTAATAAAAACAAACCTGGTGCCAGGTATCGGGGTGAATGCTGGAAGATCAGAGAAGCAGAACAAGCCACAGCTACCTCACCTCACCAACTCCTCAGCTGATCCTATTTCCTCAGACTGGAAGCCTCTCAGCTGAACTGTGCTGCTCAAAAACCTAAAAGCTTAACCAGCCAAAAGCTTCTAGTTCCTGGTCCTTATGCCTTATATACCTTTCTGCTTTCTGTCATCACTTCCTGGGATTAAAGGCTTGAGTAACCATGCCTGGCTGTTTCCAGTGTGGCCTTGAACTCACAGAGATCCGGATGGATCTCTGCCTCCCAAGTGATAGGATTAAAGGCACGTGTGCCACCATTTTCTGGCCTCTATGTCTAGTGGCTGTTCTGTTCTCTGACCCGATAAGTTCATTAGGGTGCACAATATTTTGGGGAACACAATATCACCACAAAGCTAAAATGTATTAATTTACGATTAATGTGCCTCCATGGTTGGGATTTGCCTGCCCAAGAAACTCCTAGTGAATAACTAGATGTTTGGAAGCCTAGTAATATTCAGTTTGGATCCTGCATAAATGCAGCAGCCTTTGATCTTCCAGAGCACTCTTAATTATATCTCTATAGGGACAAGAAAATAATTTAGGTCTATCTAGATGTGAGTCTTAAAAGGAACTCATTTCTTTCCTTTAACACAAGTCTTACAATGATTAAAATGAAAGTCAGGAAATCTTTTCATTTTAATTTTCTTTTAACCGACAAGTAATTGCATAAACATATAGAATATGAGGTGATGTTTCATGTATACATTTTGGGCTAATTCGAATATCTGCCCACTTCACATATTTATCATTTCTTTGTGGTAAAAACATTTAAAATCCTCTCTTTCAGCTCTTCTGAAATACACAATTTATTGTTAAGTACGGTTAACGTGTTGAGCAACAGGAGTAAGGAAAATCTAATAGAAAAGGGAACTCTTTAGTCCACAGGTGCAAAGCCAGACAGGAAGAGTCAGAGCTGAGCAACTCTGTTTGGAAATAAGCTAAGTCCCTGGCTCCAGCAGCAAGCAGCTTAGCTCCGCCCACACACACTGGCTACAGCGATGTTTTAACCCTTACTGTCCCACAGTATTCCTGAAGGTATGTTTATTACAGAAGAGTTCCGTTTCTTGTTTCTTTGTATATCCCCACATTCCCAACATAACTTTTGTCTGGATTAAGTAAGTGGATGCAGAAACATCCTTGGTGAGGTGCAGCGAAGTTACTGTGTGCAGTGAATACTGGCTCAGGGGCTCATTGAGAGAAGAAAATAGGTCCAGGTCCTGGGCTCAGGAAAGATAATGGTTACCAAAAGTAGTTCCAGATGTGCAATATAAACAAAGTGCATCTAAATGCAGGTAGGTGTTATAGGGGGCAGGAATGGATGCCGGTGAATATCATTCCCACACACCTCTGGGGCTCACACATTTGAAAAGAGCAGTACCAGAGTTAAGCACATCACAAAGCCAAGAAAGGGCTCTGAATCTCTCCAAGCTCCATGGAAAATGTAATCACCAGAACGTTTGTTTTAAATATAAAAGCTAATGAGATAACCACGAGGATAATAGCACCACATTTTTCTCCTCAAGTTTTATTAAGAACACATTACATAGACTTGGAATAAATGAACACACGTGAAAAACAGAGTAAGCAAACACTGCTTTGTAGCACAAATAGATAAGGGTCCTAAAGCCTCCTTATGTAAATTTAAGTTGCAAAAATTAGTATTTTTCAGCTCTAAAATTATATATACAAAAAAATGGCTAACACAGAAGGACCATGACTATGCTGGAGTCTGGCTGAAAATAGTACAAAATTCTCCATATGGTGAAGGTCTCAACACTCTATTTTTAAAAGATTGTGGAAAAGATGGGTAGGAAACATAACTAACCGCCTGCTTCAAATGGTGGTGTCGTGGCTGAAATTTTCTATATTTATACTTCTATTCCTATATTTCATTTTATCTACGTTTTATTTTTATTGTCCTTTGGGTTAATGAAACAAATTTTCTACAAAATGAAAATTCAGAAATGGACATAGTTCTCTTTCACCAGAGATGAACATTCACACCCCAAAACTCCAGCAGCTTTCCAGACTTTTTCTCTCTAACTTGCTGAACTGTTGAAATTATGCCAGGGTATTTTTTTTTATTTCTTCTTAATCTCAGTGAGACTTTTACTTTGAGACAAGAGGCTCCATTTCCCCCACCCCCACCCCCCCTTACCCTCAAACAGTGCCTGTGTTTTTTCTGGAATCCAAATCAGATGCTTTTCGCCATGCTGATTTCAAAGGCTCCAGAAAAACAGCCTCGCTCCAGCTCCAGCTCCTAGCCAATGCAGCCTCTGTGGCTTTAAGAGTAGCTTTCCGCCACCCCCCTGCGCCCACATACTTGTCCTCTCTGCACAGAAAGTGCCAAGCAGTGACATCTACTATAGTTTCTAGGACACCATGGTCTTGGCAATACAGGGAGAAAAAAAGAGAGCGAGTGAGCTGTGAGGAGAAAGAGGGCGGGTGGCAGGGGAAGTCAGCGCAAACCCAGCTACGTTCCCAGAGGACCCACGGGCACTTTCCATGCAGTAATCCCGACTTGCTGTTTATGGCTGTTCGGCTGATAGGAAGCCCAGCTCCAGGGAGCTGCAGGGCCCAGCCTCCCCCCTTGCTATCCATTAATCATGAGAAGCTGTTACGAAGTGTACACAGAGTGGGAGTTCTGCCTAGAGTGGCCTCTAGCTGTCTCCAGCTCAATGAAATGACCCTGTGTGAAAACTTGTTTTATGAGAGATTGGTTTATTTGTAACTAAACTACTTCCTCCGTTATTTGATAAGCTCAAATATTTGCTAGTGATAGTCTGAGAGTGTCACATTTATTATCCTGTTTCTGTGGTTGCCTCACTCCTTTGGAGCCGGCTCTGTTAACCCTTGGAAGGACTGCAGTGGCCCATGCCATCTCTCAGGTGGCCACCATTTGTGAGACCAATGAGGATTTGTGATACAAAGAGGGAGACTCGCTGTTCCCAAACCACACAGACAACTCTAGAGACTGAAGACTCTGATAAAGCCCTCCCCCACTCCCCCCAGGATTCTGCAACCACCATAGAAAGGAAGGAAGGGCTTTCTGACTTCCTAACATACATCCCTGGAAGTTTCACACACACTTGTGTTGCTGAAACAGTATGTTAAATAGGTCGGTGTGACTTCCTGTAGTTTTTCAGACCCCGAACGTCAGTTGTGTGCGGCATGCGTTCTCAAAACGCTGTAGCATTCTGTGCTTTGACACTCTGCCTGTTAGAGTCTGAGCTCATTTGCATTTGGCAGAACTTATTTCCTGCTGCCAGAGAAGGGGAGCAAGGGAGGGGGTGAAAGCCTTTGCAAGACTCCCTCAAAGGGCTCAAAGGGCTTTCTGGACATATAAAACTATGTTTCCAAGAATTAAATGAACCAGAATGAAGCAGATCTCCTTTGAAATGAAAAGAAATACAGGCTTTTGTTACATGCAACACATTTGGAGAACCTAAGTTGAATATCTCTCTTGACAGATCTACACTGGGACTGTTTTCCAGCTCTTTCTGTCTCTAGTCAGCGACACAGAGTTCTCAGTGAATGCAGAAGAGGTGAGGAAGTAACCACTTACGTGTGGCAAAATGTTCCAGCCTTGCAGAGATTTTCCCAAAATCATTAGACCCACCAAAATGCTTTCCATTGGCCCGGTCCTCACCTTCTCCATCAGAGTTTCCACACTCCTCAAGTCTCCCAGCCGTCTGCAGTTCCTAAAACAGCCAGTCATTTGTAGCCGAAAATGTAACCAAGTTTATGCTTCTAAATTAGAGAGTTGGCTATCAAGCAGAAAAGAAAAAGAAATAATGTTGCCTCCCAACTTGTTTCAAAGTCGGAACTGAACACGGATCCAAGTCCCTTTCTGCTCCCAAGGAAGGTGAAGTTAGGGCAGCTAGGCTGTGGGAGGGCGCACAGAGAGGGACATGTACTGGGAAGACAGATCATAAGATCCCATCCCCATCAGATGGGGTGGGGGAGACAGGCTCAGGGTTCTGCCTCTGGTCTCTTTTAGACCTACTTTCTCAGCAGGCAGCTTTTCCCACAATCCCACCAGTGGAACAAAGCTTGGCCTGAGTGATGACCTAAATTGTAATTACCTGCAAGAAATTTATATTTAAATAGAAATATATTTAGTATGATGAATAGATTTTATTTTTAGTTCTCTCCCCCTTTCCTTGTGTTTTAATTGAGTTTTTTTTTTTTTTTTAAACAATATCCCTCCTCTTAGGCATCTTATCTTTTCTATTTTGGAGCTTGTGATTGAACCCAGACCCTCACATCTTACCACAACTCACTGTACTACTGAACCACAACTCCAGTCTTCCTCCCAAACATTTTTCAGTATAAAATGCAGTTTTGATAGCTATAATATTATACACTAAATTTCTAGAACTTTTTCAGATTATATGATGGCTCTTTTTAGGCATTGTATGGCAATACCTTACCCCATCCCATTCCCTGGTAACTACCATTTCTGTCCTCCTCCTCCTTTTTCCTCCTCCTCTTTTTAAAAAAATATTTATTTTATTTTTATTTTATGTGTATGAGTGTTTTGCCTGCATGTATGTCTATGTACCACTTGTATACCTGGTGCCTGCAGAGGTCATAAAAGGGCATGGGGTCCCTGGAATTGGAGTTACAGATGGTTGTAAACCACTGTGTGGGCACTGGGAATTGAATCTAAGTTCCTCTGGAAGAGTAGTCAGTATTCTTAACCACTGAGACATTTCTCTAGCCCTTACCTTCTTTTGTGATGAGCCTGATTGTTTTAGATAACTATGGTGGCTGGTTTTATGTCAACTCGACACAAACTAGAATCGTTAGAGAGGAGGGAGCCTCACTTGAGAAAATGCCTTCACAAGATTAAGCTGTAGACAAGCCTGTAGGGCATTGTCTTAAATGGTGATTGATGGGGGAAAGCCCAGCCCATTGTTGGTCCTGGGTTCTATAAGAAAGCAGGCTGAGCAAGCCATGATGAGTAAGCCAATAAGCAGCACTCTTCCAAAGCAACTCCCTGAGTTGCTTTGGTCCAGGTTCCCGCCCTGTTTGAGTTCCTGTTCTGACTTCCTTCAATGATGAACAGTGATGTGGAAGCGAAAGCCGAATGAACCCTTTCCTCCCTGTGGTGGTTTGAAAGAAAGTGGCCCCCAAAAAGAGTACCACTATTAGGAGGTGTGGCCTTGCTGAAGTAGGTATGGCTTTGTGGAGGAAGTGTGTCACTTTGGGGGCGGGCTTTGAGGTCTTTTTGCTCAAGCTTCCCTCAGTGTGACATGGAGTCCACTTCCTGTTTCCTGCAAGCTGTAGGACTCTCAGCTACTTCTCTTGCACCATGTCTGCCTGCATGCTGCCATTTCACATCATAATGATAATGGACTGAACCTCTGAACTATAAGTTAGCCACCCCAATTAAATGTTCTCATTTATAAGAGTTGCTGTGGTCAAGATGTCTCTTCAAAGCAATAGAAACCGTAACTCAGACACTCCCCGAGTTGCTTTGGCCATGGTGTCTCATCACAGGAATAGTGACCTTGATGGAGACAATGACTCACCTCAAATATAATAATGCAGTATTTGTTCTTGTGTGATAGCTTACTATAGTTAGCATAATGTCTTCAAGTTTCATCCATATTACAGCATATCACAGGACTTCCTTTCATAGTGGAAGAACATTTCATTGTTTATGCAAGCCACCATTTCTTTATTATGTTGATGAACAGCAGGGTGATTGTTTCCACTTTGTAGCTATGGTGAATAAGGAATCAGTGGTTACAGGAGTGGATGCAGATACGTATCTATCCGATAAAGAACTGTATTCAAAATGTATGAAGAAATCCTACAACCAATAACAAGCAGTCAAATTATAAATTGAGAAAAAGGACTTGAAGAGACATTTCTCCAAAAAGGATATACTAATGGCCCATAGGAAATGTAAAACAACGCTAACTATCATAGTTTACAAGTCTATCCTTCTGGGAACCTTCTGCCGTGTCTTCAGGAATCCAAGTATGCATCCCTTGGAGATGAAAGTCAGAACCAGTGAGCTCTCACATCTATTCAGATGACATTATAAAATGGTGTAACACAATCTGACAACTGTGGTCAAGAATTCAGAGAAACTGGAACCTGTTCACTGTCGTGAGATGTAAAATGGTGTGGTCAATATAAAGTGTCCTCACAAAATTAAGTAGAAGAGCACCATCCACCAACCCTCAGTCTCTCAATAAAACCTCTGTATTATTCTGTCCAGTGCTGCATTGTGAGTTTGTTTACAAATTTAGTCCAAGAGCCTTCGCACCTTCTCAAGTGGGGTGAATGACAGTGGGTGGAGAAGAACGGAACTTGTTACAGAGACCTGGTTTTAGCTCTGACTCTAGTCTTCACTGGCAATATGCTTTCTAGTGGGTCACCTAAATCCCTGGGGTTTCACTTGGTGTCTTTAGAGGGGTATGATTATAGTCAATTCTTTCTGGCTTCCCAGTGGGAAATGAGGCACGTAACACAGAATTATGACAGCTAACCAAGAGAGATGGCCATCAATCACTGTTCTAGTTTCCAAATACTTACATGTGGCAAGTTGGAAAATTTGGGGGTTTCCCTCAAGGAGTGGACTGGTTTCCCATGGAATTAGACTGACCCTTTTAAACATAATGCCTATGGTGGGGTCGTTCTCTTTTCAGGCTAGAATGGTGATAAGGAATAAAATTGCTCGTAGTTTTACAAAGCTGTTTTTAGTCACAAGCCCACACCTGAAAGCTAAAAGCAAGATCTATTCCAGCCATCATGAGCACCCTCTTTTCCACAGGCGTAGACAGAGGTAGCTATTGAATGAAAACTCCAACACTTAAATATGGTAACCTGGGTGAGAGAGTTACAAACTGCAGTGCCACAAAAACATTTGTTGTTAATGAGCAGAACATTAATTCAGAGGGTCCTTGTCCCTCCACAAAATAGGGTGAAAAAAATCACTCTAGAACTTGAGTTTTATACTCTATATCAATTACGGATTATTAAATAACTAACTTTAAATGTTTCTTTTCACCACATCGACACACGCGTATTAAAAATTATTTTTATTAATTCTTTGAGAATTTTATATAAAAATAATAAAAAAATCAATCAGCCTCAATGTATGCTGATCAGATACTTTTGGGTCTGCAACCATCCACTGGCGCATGGTAGACCTACCAGGAGCCGCACCCTTAAGGAAAACTGACTTCTTCTGCCCCAGAAGCCATCAACTGCCCATAGCAGGGTTTAGTGGCTTGATTTCAGGCAGGCAGCCACCATTGCTCATGAGCTCATGATCATGGTAGTCCAGAAGATTCCCATGTGCTCTGATCCTCCCCGACCTCTGGCTCTTACAGACCTTCTGATCTCTCTTCTCAGACTGTCCCTGAGGCTTTGGGAGTGGTGGTATATAGATATGTGATTATTTTTTTTAAATACAATATTTTGTGTGTTTGTGGTATGTA